CAGCGCGAGGTTCTCCAAGACTTTTAGCCCATTCAGCTCGTTTACGAAGCAAAATCGTACGATCCTGAGTATATTATTAAAACGAAATTTACTCCCATTATTCTTCATAGTTTTTCTTAAACGAGTAATTAATAATATAAAGAAAATAGTAAAATATTTATAAAAGTATTTACTGACCTGATTGTTTCCACTAACAATAAATTCTTGAGCGATATCAAACATACGTAAATCAGAATACATAGCTAATGCATATTGTTGTAAACCAGCTTTCTGAAAAAGTTTTGCTGCACCTTTTAGCTTTCCCATGGCAGCTGCAGCAGTTTTTTTCATGCTTCTCTTCCCCATTCCCCAGATTTAAGTTTTTCTTCCACTTCAGACAGAACTTCTATATATTTTAGATTTTTAACTCTAGCAAAGGAAGAATATGCTATGTTTAATTCTAAATTTTCCAAAGCAACAGTGCCTAGAGTAAACCAATCAGTATCTGCTACTCCAAGACATGCTATGTCATAAGCATAGGAAAATAGTCCAACATCAAGATATTGGTACATAAATAATGATAATGGCACCTATGTACAAATAATAGTTAAGTTATTATCACATATATTATTACATATATCATTTATACAGAGTAATACCAATTATAAATAAAACATAGTGTTACCTCCATTATAACAATAGAAGAATCATTTAAACAATAAACCTTAGATCCATTGTGACCCACAACAAGTCCAGAAAATTTTTGTCTATATTCCATAAAATTTCCTACTTTAATTGCTAAATGTTCTCCACTACAAAAACACATTATATCTTCAAAACTACTATTAAATGCTACACTATTCACGTTTTGAAATTCTTGGAGTTTTTCTTCTGTATGTAAATCAAACACATAAAGAATTCCATAGTCACTAACAACTGCAAGCTTTTCCTTTAATGAACTAATATCAAGGCACCTTACAGAACCTTCAATTTTTATTAAATATGCTGGAAATGGATTATCTAAATATATCTTTACTATATAACCAGTGTTTAAACCTACAAAAAAAAAAAAGGATTCACT